CTGCCTGTGTGTTAGAGTCACCTGGGAGCTTGGAAAATACTCATGCCCAGGCCCAGCTCTCACACATGATATCACAGTCCTGGTGGTGGTGGGCTGGGCATGGGGGGGGGCGGTGCTTGTGTGTTTTTCCAGGTGATTCTAGTCCAGTCCCCACCCCCCTGAGCCAGAATAAGAAAATAGACTGTGGGAAGGCTCACGAGGGCAATTCTGAGCTTCAGCTGCTGCTCCAAGAGGTTGGCTGCTTCTTCCGTGAGTCCCTGATAACCTTGGCCCTTTCAGAGGTGAGGAAAGGCCCATCTGTCCCTGGCTGTGGTCTCTGGGTGCCTCCTGTCTCACAGCATTTCTGCCAGCATGTCCGCAGCTCTCCCTTTTGGGCTGGGCCCCCATCTCGGCAGGTGACCAGAGTGTGCACCTCAGACTTCCTAAGAGGTGAGCCTCCCCCAGATGCCACCCAGCTTTCCCATAGGAGAAGAAGAGACTGGACGTGAATTGGAAAATGAGGGAGTGTTTTTAATTGGCATCTAATTAAAAAAAAAAAAAAGCTCTTTAATCTTGAGGGGAGACAGGTTTGTTGAGGATGGAGAGCCCAGTGGTGCAGTGGTTCTCAAAGTCTGGTCCCCAGATCAGCAGCATCCACATGCATCCACATCACGTGTGGGAGCTTATTAGAAATGTAAATTCCCAGACACGTCCCAGATGCACTGAATCAGAGACTCTGAGGTTGGGGGTCCAGCAGTCCGATACCCTCCAGGTGATTTTGCTGCCAGTAAAGGTTGAGAACCATAGCTCTCGATTGATGGTTGAGTGTGTGTGTGGACACCTGAAATGTCAGTGGTGTTCACCCCTCCCCATCTTGGCATCAGAGGCCCCTGGGGGGGTTTTATAAAACCTTGGACTCCTGGGCCTCATCTCAGGGATTGGGAATCTATATCTATATCTATGTCTCTCTCTCTCTCTCTCTCTCTCTCTATATATATATATATATATATATATAGAGAGAGAGAGAGAGAGAGAGAGAGAGAGATTTTTTGTGGTACGCGGGCCTCTCACTGTTGTGGCCTCTCCCGTTGCGTAGCACAGGCTCCGGACGTGCAGGCTCAGCGGCCATGGCTCACAGGCCCAGCTGCTGCGCGGCATGTGGGAATCTTCCTGGATCAGGGCACAAACCCGTGTCCCCGGCATCGGCAGGCGGACTCTCAACCACTGTGCCACCAGGGAAGCCCGAATCTATATTTTTAACAAGTGCTCCAGGAGATTCTGAAATGCAGGCGGGTTTTTCTGTTTTGTTTTGTTTTTGAATCGTGGTAGCAGAAACCTGATAAATATTGCATTCTTTTAATAATAACTTTGTATCTACTTGGTGCAAGGTGAGGACAGTTCCTCTTTTCTTTTCCTCCCGGAGTTGTGGCCCCTTCGTGTCTAATTATCAAGAAAGACATTTCCATCAGTCCTGTTGCCCATTAAGTACAGACAGCCGTTGCCCTTAGCAGGCATCTTCCTCATTGCTGGATTGTTCATTGCCACTTAAAAGCCACAAGTGGGTTTATGGCCTCATGCCTATTTAATTAGTCCAGCTTCTCCAAATTGTGTTTTAAGTGAGTGAAGACATTAGCCTCTGACCTAATTGATCCACAAAGCGTCTTTTCAGAATGTTTGTGTAGCTTAACTCTGGATCCAGAGAGGTGTCCCTGAGGCTTTCAAGAGGCCACGGGGTCAAGGAGGTAAGGACTGTACTACTCCTGTGACCCTTGTGGGTCGCTCTGCAAAGAGCAAGTTTGATTCAGGACAAGAATGGCAGGCACAGGCCCCTGCCCTCTCTAGAAGAGCAGATTCTTTTTGTTTTGCCCACAGCTGCCTCTCTCCTCACCATCCTTGTGTCATCATAAATGTCCACACCTGTGTGATATTTTATGACAGGGCACACCTGCTGGAACGGAGAGGCGGTCATGTTTCAGATCTGCCTAGTACGGATGTCATGAAGCCTTGTGACAGAAGTGAAATACGCCTTCTGCTCCATTTCTGCCCACCCTTCCTCCCACTGCCGTTGCCCTTTTACTCCTGAGGTGGAGGTCACCAGGCTGCAGACCTGCCGGCCTGCTCGAGGTGACTCTGGTGAACCCAGGGGACCCTGCTTACATGCGTCCAGTTCTGCATCTGGCTTCTTTTAGGCATCTCTCAAGTCCCGTCATCAAGGCCTGAGTGAACCTCCCAGGCCCCCCCGCAGCTCTCAGGCAGTCAGGCTGTCTGCCTTTGTTTTTCCATACCTGTTATATGCCTCTGTTAGAGCATTTATTCCATCGAGCTTGTTTGTGTTACGAAGGAAAGAAGGGACTAAATGAAACCTTTGTTTTCACTCGCCCAGACCTTTCAGAAGGATCTCTGGGAGTGTTTGAAAGCCATTTTAATGAGACCAGGACTCGCTAAACTTCTTTTCTCGACAATGGCCAGTACTTGGTGCTTGAAAAATAATTAACTAGGGCTGCATGAGTTGTGAGCTGGCCTTGACTTGGTTAGAAGCACAATGGAAACAGGAATCAGAATCGGAACGCCGGCGATCGAGGGCAACACAGACGTCCCATCCTTGGTCATGAACAGGGACCTGCACCAGTGTTGAATACTGCCCTGCAGAGTTCACCCCCAGGCCCAGTGCTGACAGAAAGGCTGCAGTAGTTTGTGTTGTTGTGTTAGCGCTGTGCTAACCCACATAGAATCACCTGGGGGGGCTTTAACAACATCCCAGCACCCAGGTTGCCCTGGCTTAGAAACTCACGGAGGGACCAGGCATCTGAAATTTGTAATGCTTTCCCAAGTGCATCCAATCTGAAGGTAGCATTGAAAACCCCTGGGTTAAAGGAGTCTGTTTAAATGTGTGGGGTTGAAATGAGGCTACGGGAATTACTGGGCTAGTGTCTTTTTCTATAATAAAGGTAAATAGAATAGAGGCATGCTAATCAGCACAGGTGTGTGAATGTGTGTATGTGTGTGTGGACATTGCAGAGAGGCTGTGGGTGCAGGGATGCTGACACCAGTGCCCATATTTATACATTTGGAGGAAGGCTAGATCCCCTGACTCTTCTTACTTTCCTTAGCAGCACATGCCCAGTCACTCAGCAGAGGCAGCCAAATCTCCCCAAAAATATGATGCTGCCTCTATGACGCATCTCAGATTTTCCTGTTCATTTCCATTGCCACGGTACTGACCCTTTCTTCTTCCTTCTCTCAATAATAGTCCAGCCTTTTTCTCTGCTGGCATTCGCTCCTGCATTCTTCCACTCGATCCATTCTCCACACTCTGACCATACCCGAGTCACTCTCATGTTTTTAGAGCCTTTGCTGTTCCCCATACCCAAGGATAAATGGCGATCATCGTTATGGATAGCCCTTACCTAGCATTTATACATACGTGTGTTTACGCCTGGCACCAGCTCTAAGAGGTAGCACTCATACCTGTTTTACAGATGGGACAGTGAAAGCATGGGGTGACTTGCCCAAGGTCACACAGTCACAATGGCCCCAGGCTTCCTGACCCCAGAGCTTTGGTTCTGCACCCCTCAGCTTCCCCACCTCTCTCGATGCTCTCTGGCCATGTAGGGTAAGGCTGCTCTGTGCTAACAGACTTTTCCTACGTTATGGTTATGTCTAATCTTCGCATCCATCCTGCTGGATGGCATTATTATTCCTATTTCACGGAAATCAGGGCTTGAAGAGGTTAAGTTCACTTGACCAAAGTCACAGAGCTAATTAAGGAAATAACAGGTGTGCAGTTCAAACCAGTTGCTCCTCCCTCCAGGCTCTGCATTCTCTCCACCACACTGCTGGGGGGATTGTCTGATTCCTTTAGGGTGGCCTCTGTAGCTTCTTATAGTCTGTTGCCAACCTGTCTTTTCACTACGTGCGTTCCATTCCATTATGAAATCATGCCACCCAACGTTTGCTCGCCCTGTTCCTTTTGCCTGGAGTGTTCTTCCCTGCCCAACTAGGACTCCTACGACAGGAGTCTTGCTGTCTTGCTGATAATACCCTGCGTGGAACCTGCAAGCAGCAGGACAGGGAGGCCATTTGCATTTTCTCTCCACCTCAAGGAGCCTTAAAATGATGCAGCTCCTCTTGACCCTCCTACTGTGATTTTGCATCATGAATGTAACATGTAACCAACATACGTGTCTACCTTTCTGCTAGGTGGCATCTTTGAGGCCAGGTGTCATCCCTTCCTCCTGTTTCTGTCTTTTGTGTCTAGGGCATTGTGAAGCCAACAGCAGATGTTCAGTAGATATTTGTTAAACAGGGGAAGGGCAGACAAGGATGCAAAGGTGGGGAAAGTCATCAAACTATACCACCTGAGGGACCTCGGTGGGGCTAGAGTGCACAGAACAGTCAGGGATTCAGGGATGTCTTTACCTCTAGGGAAATGTCCACTGTTTGGAAATTTCCAGAAGGAAGTGAAGAGCTAATGATTATCCTAATGAGCTAATCTAGCTTGTCCATTTTGCTCCCCTCCCAGGTTTTTGTTTCCTTGTGTTTTTATTTTATTCAATATGCTTTGCTAATAACCTCCTGGTAAAAAGCCCGTGGACCCTATATCCTCCAGCATGGACTTCATAAATAAGATGTAGTTGGGAGAGAGCCTGTGAAAGCTGTGGACTTCAGGACTTTCACAGGACTCATGAGCCTTAAATGGTGGCGGCCGTGGGGATGCAGAGGTCGTTCTTATGCAGTGAGGCAGAATCTTTCAGAACGGAAACAGATGCCAAGGAAAGCTCTTCCCCGATGGAAGTTAATTCTTTAACCATGAAGTTAGGGTTATCATACTAAGTAAACGGTTTTTGGACTCTTAAGGTTTAAATCACTTGGCACAGCTGGTAGAAACAAAACAAAACAAAACAAAAAAAACTGCGAGGCGGGAGGATCCGGGATGGGCAGGTGTGCTGCGTGACGGGAAGGGGGCCTCCCGGGTGGTTTCCATCAGCACTGGCGTTGAGATTGCATTTTGCACCCCACAGGTGAGCGTCCTTACCACCCTGGAGCGGAGGTTCAACCTCCAGAGCGCCGACGTGGGCGTGATCGCCAGCAGCTTCGAGATCGGGAACCTGGCGCTCATCCTCTTCGTGAGCTACTTTGGGGCGCGCGGGCACAGGCCACGCCTCATCGGCTGCGGAGGCATCGTCATGGCCCTGGGCGCGCTGCTGTCGGCGCTGCCTGAGTTCCTGACCCACCAGTACAAGTACGAGGCGGGCGAGATCCGCTGGGGTGCCGAGGGCCGCGATGTCTGCGCCGCCAACGGCTCGGGCGGGGACCAGGGGCCCGACCCGGACCTCATCTGCCGCAGTCGGACCGCCACCAACATGATGTACTTGCTGCTCATTGGGGCCCAGGTGCTCCTGGGCATCGGTGCTACCCCCGTGCAGCCCCTGGGCGTCTCCTACATCGACGACCACGTGCGGAGGAAGGACTCCTCGCTCTACATAGGTAAGGAGCTGCCCCAGAGCCAGGGGTGCTGTTCCCTTTTGCTTGATTCTGTGTCAGTAACCAGGGCATGTTAACAGAAGAAGGAAACGTGGGCCTCTGAAGTTCTAATTTTCCCAGAGCACTGGTTCTCAGACTTGGCTACACATCTCGGGTGTTTTGGAAAATGCTGATGTCTGAGTTGCACCTCCAGAAATTACGGGGTAGTTGGTCTGGGGTGCATCCTGGGCAGGTAGTGTTTAAAAAGCTCCCCAGGTGATTCCAATGTGCAGCAGAGTTTGACCTCTGCTGTGCTAGAGCCTCAATAAACCTTGAGTGGGAAGCCATGGTCAGGGGAAGTTTTATGTTTATTTATCTGCCTTTTTGTGTGTGTTTGGACTTTGGGCTATTCGGCATTAGCCACCGAGGAATACTTGGGGATCTACACATTGGAGACTCTGTTTTTAATCATCAAAATGATCTCCTGGTCCTTGTCCTATTGCAGCTCAAAGAGAAAGGGGATTGCATGCCCAGCATTTGGTATTATTAAAAGTTGGTAACTTTCCGTAATTTTTTTTTTTTTTTCTGTCACGGGGTATGCACTGGAACTGCATATTTGGGAAGAAATAAGGTACATGTGAACTTTGAAAAAATGTTTTGTGCTCTAATGATTTCTGCTATTTTGTACTGGGAGGGTGGGAGCCATTTGCAGGTGTTGGGTTAAGAAACATCCAAGTGGTGAATTACACTTACAGCAAACGTGGCTCCTTAGTCCCTGCTTCTAGGCACTGCTGCGTGGTCATTTGTAGGGTGAGGGCTGGCCTGCCGAGCATCTCCATTTCTTGTTTACCAAGTTTAATTTTGCCTCCCACAAGCTGTTGGATTGTATGACATGACCCCAGTCACTGGGTGCTAAGCTCTGAAAAAATTATATCCACCCACGGAAGCTTTGTGCTTCCCCAAAGCTGTGTGCCTTGGAGTATAAAGTTAATTATAATATGAAGTTTAGGTTAAAATAGAATTTGATAAGAATTTTTCAAAAAGCTTCCTATCTGCCAGGTTTCCACCATACGCTGCTCAAGCTTTCTGAGACAGGAGGGTTCAGAACAGCTACACACCTGAATGCTAATTTTCCTCTGTGACTTTCTGTCCCAACTGTGGTGTAGATGACTTTGTTGAATAAATATGTGGTATGTCTCAGCCCTCTGTGAACAGGCTCTAGGAAAGAAAGGTGGAGAATATGTATCTCCCCATCCAAGGGATGAAGCACACAGTAGAAGAGAAGATTGCTCAGGCTGAAGATGGCTATAGTCGCTTCTCCCTGTGGTTAGGGGTTTCCATAATTGTGTGTGAAGGTGGGCACAGTGGGGAGAGGGGTCTAAGGAAATCCTTTACATTTTGATGCTTTTAAGGCTTCAGTGAAAGCCCCTCCTCGTGAGTCTGTTGCAGACCAGGACACGGGCCACAGCATGTAGCCAAAACAGTCTCCGCAGGTCCATCTGGGCCATTGGTCTCTGACCTGACCGATATCACTCTAGGACCCTAGGACAGATATTTTTTGGTAGCAGTAACAGCAAGTAGATAAATCAGGGCACATGGAAGGAAATGGGGAGTGAAAAGCTGAGTTCTTGTCTCTGATGGGAAATCCAGTAGAAAAGTGTCTCCCCAGAATGCCTCCCGGAGTCACACCAGTGGTAAATCACCTCTGCTTGGGGGCCCCTGCCTGGAGCATCAGGCTCAGAGCCCTCTTCAGAAGTCTGCCCTGATGAGTTAGGCTGTGGTATTTCCTGGCACTGGATGAGGCCTGGGCTGTCGGTTCAAAGCTTTAGGATGTGGACTCATTTTGGTTTTGTGGGAGGTGGAGGCTTGGGCCACAGGGCTGACCATACCAGGCACAGGCCCTTCTCTCTTTCTGAGACCTTGTTTCTGGGATTTACAGTGAGTCTTTGGTAGGAGGAAAGTCTCAACCAAGTTTCTAATCGGGCATCCTTTTCCACTATGATAGTTCAACATTCACAGAGTTGGGAGTGTCTTTTTGTGTGGTGTGGGGGCATCTTGGTGGCATCTGGCCAAATTCCAAAACATGACAGTACAGGACTGTGGAGATGGCCTTCCTGAGTGCTTCTGAACTTGTTTCCTGGGTCTGTGTTTACGGGGAGCAACAGAGAGCAAGCTTTCTGCACAGATCGGCCTCGGTAGGTGGCCTTTTATTCCATGCATAGTTTGAATTCTCCAGGAACAATTTAAAAAGACCATGCATATGCAGAGCATAACTGGTTCAGTCATTTATTGTACAGGTCATAAAAAGTGCTTGTGATCATGAGACTATTTTAGCATTTATCTCCTCTAATAGGGAGCTAGTTTCTGAAGCCACTTAATTTGGCTTCGGGAAGTATCTGGGGGAGCCTGCTGAATGGGATTGGTATGACTTATGACCTCTTAACTCCCTGCAAGAGAAAGACAGTCTGAAGGGACTGGTGCTGGGACTGTGGGTGTTGATGGTATCCATTCGGGTGGAGTAGCATGTGTGCCCCTTGGTTCCAGCTCTTGCAGAGCTGGTAAGAGAGAGAGGCCCATAGCTAGCCATCTGATCATATGCCTGACATGGGAGTGTAAACTGGAGATTGAAAGGTTTCTAAATCTTGCACGTGTGAAGCACAGGTTGTTCACAGCTGCTCCTTTCCTGTGGGTGTAAGCAGGGAAGGGGATGATAACCATGCAGCACCCTGGCCACAGGCCACTGGTGACAAGCCCTGCCCCTGGGTCACCAGCTGGGTGCCTTCGGCACAACTATAGCCATGTCCTAGACGCCCTACAGCTAGGGGGAAAGGGAAACATTCCATATTAAATCAAGCTGATATTTTCCACCCAAGTGACTGTTTGCTTCAGCCTCTTGTGGCTGAGTCACTGCCAAACTCCTGGATTCCCTGATGGTCATTCACAAGGGGCTTCTCCTGCTGGCACTGTTCTCTGGCCATTCCTGCCCAGCCTGGGGAGGGAGCCAGGGGAGCTCATTACCAGGGGACAAAACTCACGCAGCTCTGCTGGCAGGCTTTTCAGGACCACACAATGTGGAGCCAAGCCTCACAGCATGGCTGGACGGTGACCCGTGGGTGGCACGTGGCGTTCCTTCTTCCCAGAGAGACTGATGGAGCAGAGTGGCAGTGGGAACCGTTTGATATGGTGGCGTGAGTGGGGTCCACCAATCGACCCTCTGGGAATTACTTGTGCTGTTAACCCATGTTGTGACCTTCCATGAGCTCAGTTTTCTTAGCTGCCCTGTTTCTCTGAGTTCAAAGCACAGCCCGTTGTATTGTAGGCAAGAGTAAGTAGGCTAATGTAATGGACTCGCTGGGTCCTTTCATTAGATTGCTATGGCAGTTGGTTGGTGCCTTGTTTTGTCTTTTTTTTTTTTTCCTTTGGGGAGGAAAAACCTCCAAATGAGAGTGGTAAGGATTTAAAAAAAAATAACTTTATTTCTAGTTAAAAAGTATTATATGTTCACTGTTGACAACTTTGGAAGTATAGAAAAAGGATCATTGAAGAATAATTACCCTTAGCTTTATGCTTATATAAAATCCTTTTTTCTGCATTGGTATGCTTTTCTACACACAAAAAAACTGTGTTTATAATAAATAATGTTTTGCTACTGTATTCCTCTCTTAATATTTCATGAACATTTCCCCAGGTCACTAAATATTCTTCGATGGCATTCTTTCTGCATACGAATATTCCCTTGTGGATCTATACTGTAATATTTAATGCCCTCTCTCGTTGGACATGGGTTTGTTTTTCCTATTTTACTGTTATAGACGAAGCAGACAGGTGATCTGTGCTTCTGAAAGGTTAAGTAACTTGTCTAAGATAATGAATGGGGCTGAGCCCCGGGTATGAGAGTGATGTTTTTTCCAGGTACATCTTGGATCTGTGACAAGGCTGGGGTGGGTGGGGCTGGGTGCAGAGGGCTGGTGGATACTCCAGGGGGTCAGGTGCAAGTAGGGGCATTCTGCAAGACAGCCTGAATTCTTTGGGAAATAGATAGCAGAGGAGTCAGGAAGGTGAGAAGATAGCCGTGTGTCTCAAATCCAAGGGGAGAGGTGTGATGGGAATGGAGAACGGGTGTGAAGGCAGAATAGAGAGTTGGGAGGAGAAAGAAGCGGGGGGCCTGGCTAACAGTTCACGTCGGGGTTCTGGAAGGAGGTTGTGCCCCTGTTTCATGGTGCTTTAAGTAGAGATCACAAATTAGAGCTGGTGGATTCCGTGTTCTGCTCACCTCTCACCAGAACTGAGGACAACATACCCTCACTTTGCTGTTCCTATCATGTGGAATCTTGATAGCCATTAGGAAATTGCCCTTATGTTGTGTTGGAAATCTGTCTTCTCACAACTTTGCACACACCGTCTCTGGTTCTGCCCTCTCGGTCAACTCTGAGAAATTGTGATCCCTCTTCCACGTTTGGTAACTCCACAGCTGGCTGAACACCAGCCTCTCATGGGCAGGGAAGGTCACCTAAAATTTGACTCTTCTGTGCTGGGACCTCCGTTCCTTACTTGATGCAGTTTCCTGCCACACTCAGCCACCGTTTCCCTCTTTACGAGGGATGCTAAGGCTGGAGGGCTTGTTACTAGGGGACAAAAACAGGTGAATGGGGCATGCAGGATTTGGGTACTGTATTGCTTTGCTAGGGCTGCCATAACATAACACCACAGACTGAGTGAGTTAAACAATGGAAATTTATTTTCTCACAGTTATGGAGGCTGGAAGGCCAAGATCAAGGTATCAGAGTTGGCTTCCTCTGAGGCCTCTTTCCTTGGCTTGCAGATGGTGCCTTTTCCTCCTGTGTCTTCACATGGGCTTCCTTCTGTGTGCACATATCGCTGGTGTCTCTTTGTGTGTCCTGATTTCCTCCTTTTATAAGGACACCAGTCAGAGTGGATTAGAGTCCACCCATATGATCTTATTTAACCTCAGCTACCTCTTTAAGGCTCTATTTCCAAATAAGTCACATGCTGAGGTACTGGGG